TCTATCCTTTGCAACCGACTCTACATTCAGGCTGGAATTAAGCTCCTTGGAAGCCACATCATCTGAGTAGTTAACACGCCGCTGTTTCTTGGGATGCACGATAGGCACATCTTTTTTCGGGTATGCAGCCAAACTAGTTAACCTTTCACTACAACTCTCAGATGCCTTAGCTGATGATGAGCATAGTGAGGAAATCACCCAGAGTATATCAGGTTTTGCAGCAACTTCTACCCATTTCTGATCGACCGAGTCTCAGGATGGTCGTAAATTATTTTTCTGCAGCGTTAGAAACTTGTTTGTCTACCTAAAAAAGAAAAAAAACATTTGTTATTGCTTTAATACTAGTTCTATGCACGTGCATTTAAATGAATTTTTTTTTTTGGGTTTAAATAGGTAACTTTGTCAAAGAAAGAATAAATCGATTTCTACATAGATCTAAATGTGAATGTCTTTACTTCTTTGGCTATAGTCGTGTTGGAGAAATTCGATAGGCTAAAAATTAAGTATATCCCCATGAATTTCTTTGCAAAAATACAACCCAAAGAACCATGAAAGTCATTGATTTGACAAATTACGACCAATGCCCTACTTCCAATTGACAAACAATTACTCATAGTATCTAGTTGCGAAGTTTGTAAAAATATTGTTTTTTTTTTCAACTATCAGGGCTTGTGCTTTGTATTACTTTTCGTCTGCAATTCTATTATTCTGTTACATGCTTCCTCTTGGGTGTTTAGGGTTCCTTGAAGAACAGAGAAAACAATAGATCATGTTCCTCCTTTCCTTTGCACTCCTTTTATACTTGAAGTCGGGGTTTCGTCTTCTTTGTCATTTGCTATATAGATTTCCTTGAGGGTATTGATATGTTAAAGGCACCCTATTAACGAATGGAGAACATAGATCTACACGCCAAAAAAACTAATCACTTATACGAAACAGTATGCATTATATTTAAGTATCTAATTTCAATAAACTTTTATTTATTTTATTCAAACAATATGCACTACTCATCATTATCTTAAATTTCAAGTCATGTATCTGAAAATTATCCATATAAAATCCTACATAGTATGAAAAGTTTGTCACTTCTATCGTTTTCTTGTTTTTAAGTCTTTACTTTTACCTCTTCATCACGAGTAAATTTTGAGATAATCGTCTTTCATTCTTCATCTTTTATCTTTTTTTTCCTTCTGAAATTTATTTAACGTCTTTAATACTTTTTCCATTTATTATTGTCTTTTTTTTCAATCTTTTTCAGATTTTGTGTTTAAATTTTTTGTTTTTGTTCTGGTTTCCTTTGATTGTGTTTTGCTTTCTCAATGTCTTTCCAGTTTCTTCTTCTCTCTTTTTCCTTTTTTTTCATACATATTGCAGGATGTTAACTGGTGGGTTGCTAAAGCCCCCAAAATAAATTACCAACTTAAACTGTAGATAGGATAAGTCGGGTCGATCCCACAGGGATGGGTTAAAATTCAAATAAGAATATAAGAGTTGGACAAACAAGGAAGAAAATTGCAGACTCACTTGCCCGAGTGACAAAGTCAGTCACGCGAATGGACACTACAGAACTGAAGACAAACAGACAATTGAAACCTCACTCACGGGAGTGAGAATTCCGACTCAAGAGTCTGACTCAACAAACTGGATACTCGTTCTCTTTTCCCTATGTATTCAAGTCGTAATCTTGCACTCTTTTGGTATGAATTAATGCTCATTTATGTACTTATATATCTCTTAGTCACTTCCGATTTTTCCTAGAGGTATCTTTATGAACTCAATTAGACTATTTTCCAATGATTAATCAAGTCATAAATTCATTATGTTTTCAAGCCTTATATGAATGCTTATGCTAACCAAGCATATTCCTATCTCAATTAGAACCTAAATGATTCTGAACCTTGTTTACCCTTCCGGGATTCACTTAGTTTTGTACACAATCAATCAAATGGCCAATTTAATCAAGAGGTAGATGAAAGCTTTAACTTCAAAATATAAAATCATTCGAATCCATTCACAAACTTAAACTACATAGGTTCCAGAGAATGAAATCTAATTAACTACACATACAAACTACAGAAAATACAAGAAAAGAAGAAAAACATTGAGAAGAAGCAAATCTTGATGGCTGAGCAACATGTCACTCGCCTGAGTGACAAATGTCACTCATGCGAGTGAGGTCTGTTACTCCTCTTTTGCTGCTACTGGACTTCTTCTTCTTGGAGTTTCTTGATCTCCTATCGGGTCTCTTCTTCTCTCTCTGTGGTGTTTTGTGTATTGTATGTGTGTTTCTGTCCTCTCATATGGATCTTGTGCTGGGTACGCAGCTCCTTTTATAGAGCTTGTTGCCGGGTTTTTCTTCCAAGAGATTCTCACCATGCTTTTTGCCCATTCTTCCAGTGATGGTATCAGCAGCAACATTGCTCAATGTGGGTGGTTAGTTCTTCATTCAAGGAGGCAAGCATGCTCTTGAAAGTCTATAGTGGGACACTTTTGTTGGCTCCCAATGTGCCTTGTGCTTTGAAGATACTTTTGACCAGCTCAGGCCATGCTTCTTAATTCTGAAATCAGCAGCCCAATTATTGCTCCACAAGTCCCCTTTTTTTCATCACTTATTCACTCAGGTCCGTACCTTTACAAAAACATAAAACTTACTAAGTAATATGCATAAATTCTAAGAAGCACCCACAGATTTTCAACTAATTAGAGAGTAAATTGCATTGCTTTTATATACAAATTTGACCATTATCAACTCCCCCAAACTGGAAGAATTGCTTGTCCTCAAGCTAAACAAGTTGACTCTCACTGGTGTTTAAAGAATTATTCATGAGAATAAAGAAAACAACACTGTCAGATTGACTCAACACTGGCCGACTTCCTTGAGTGAAGATTCTCACTCAGGCAAGTGACACTGCACATAGAAACACTGACATAATCTTACTAGGGGCTGTCAACCTTTTGTCTCAGATTCAAGTAGATAAAACATACAGTAGAGATACCAAATCCTTCTGCAATCCATAATCAAACAGCTAACTTTCACTTGAAATTAGAATGCATACCACAAGTGTTAGTTCATGCCAAACCTACCAATCCATTCTAAGTTAACCGGTTAAATGTTTGGTGGTCATTCTTGTGATCTGGTTGTGCCTAAGTTACTTCGACTTGATTACACCTACTGAGGCTTCAATCATAGACTTTCTTCACAACTTTTGTCTCTTTTTCTTCTTCTTTTTTTTTTGTAGACCACCCTACACCTTTGAGAGGGGTGTTATTCAACCTTATCATCCAATGCGTTATTTATCAACCCTTATTACTCCAACAGCTTAGGACTTTTGTAGTGATCCCTTGCTGTTAACCCCTAAGGTTTCAGTTGATCAAAAAAAAAAATTTCTCTTTTTTTTGTATGACAAACAAGCTGTGAAACGATACCACAAAGGAAGTTTAAGATTTACGGCATTTTCTCATCTACTTGTAGCTTAAAACTAGACACTGATCACAACAATGGATTAGTCATGCCAAATTTTAGAAATTAGGTTCTAGCCAGTCACTTCCACGAGTGGCATGGTGCATGTGTGTGAGTGAAATGTAAGCCATTTTTCATTTCATGCATTAGACTTGGTATCAAAGTGTTTAACAAAATTTTTTCAAAACCAATATCATCCTACACTGTTGACAGCTCCTTTTTAGAAAATTTTCATTTTATTCCATTTTTTTGAAAAAATTTACAGACTCCATTTAGACATCAAAATACTTCAACCTAAAGGAACTAAATGACACTTGACCTGACCAAACCTGATCAAAACTACTCTACTCCCCCAAACTTATTCAAAGCATTGTCTCCAATGCTTAACAAACGGATCACACAAAAACAGAAATAAAAACAAAAACAGTTCACAGAAACAGAAACAGTTCACAACAAGAACTGTGTAGTCACTCACAGAAGTGATATTCTCATTCCTGTGAGTGAAATAGAAGACTGATGACTTCCCTGAGTTGGAGCAATTGAAATGGATGAGGAGGGTTTCATGGTGCACGTCGTTCAACATATCTGTTTGATTCGTTGCAACCTCTAGGTTGTGTTGAAATATACTCTATACAAGGGATCGCGATGTCCTTGTATAACAGCCTGGAATCGCAACATCAGAACACAATAAAGATTCACCAGCTATATGGAAGAGTTCAGAATTTTAATTTTCTGTAGTGTCACTCGCTGGAATGACTTTGGTCACTCATGGGAGTGACTCTGTAGTCCTTCTTTAGTTGCAAAATATTTTTTTCTCAAATACCAAGGATTAGATTTGAAACACAGACTAAATATATCAGAAATTAAGCTCATGAAGTTTCTTGGTTCATACAGTTAAGCACAGAGACCATAGAAAGCAACAAACCAGAAGCACCATAGTTCCATAAATAGATTTAGCTTTAAATAATAATGCTCAGAAAGAACTAGGTGACTCATATGCAATCAGACATGCTAATTCTGAAAATTCTCCCTAAACTTGCTAGATATGGCATCAATGTTCATAAACATATTAGAAGTTTACCCCAGACTAAAGTCTAGCAAGTACACATTAAGCACACCAAATTTCAGAATTAACAAACTACTAAGGGAGATGACATACAAAAGATGTCTCAAGAACCTAGAAGAAAGAAAACAGGAAGGTAAAACAAAATATATGGGTGGGTAAAAGAAATAAATTGACTTCAAACATCAAGTAGGTTATGAGTCACTTTGCCGAGTGACATGAGCCACTTCCCAGAGTGTCTTAGAACTTTCAGCAATACACACAAAATTTCGAAGTCAACAGTTTCAGTTTTCAAAGTTCCCATATTTAAGTTAGAAACAAAATAAACTAACAATAATCATGCGTGAACAGAGCAGACATCAATTCTCCCAAACATAAAATCCAACTTAAAAAGAAAAGAACATGGGTTACCTCCCATGGAGAAAGCAAAAGGTAGAATGCAAGATGCATTCCATCATCAACTCTTGTGGCTTCAAGTCACTCTGAATAACCGTCTTGATACCACAAGAATGTGCCATCAATTAGCCTGTCATGCCGCCAAGAAGCATTCTCTTGAATCATCCAACATGGAAGAAAATCTATCTTGCTCCACTCTTCCAACACTTTGGGGATTTTCTCGGCTTGAAATTGATCAAAATCAACCATCTCTTTTTGCGCTCCCCAAGTATGTTTATCTTTGACTCCATCAACATGACCCTCATAAATGGAGATAGTTGACTCTTCTTCATTCATCAAGGTACCTATAAATCCCAAGTCAACCACCTCTTCATTTGCAGGATAAGTCTCATCAATTTTTAGCACATCCACAATTTCTACCAGCTCACTCCCACAAGTGAGTTTCTCTGTTCCCTTGAGTGGGTATCGTGGTGGAGTAAGTATAGGTAGTGGCTGTAGTACCACCTCCCTTGGTTCAACTTCTACATCATTGTCCTCCGTTGATGAGATTACTTTCTCATGAGGTTCTTGTCTCTCTCTTCTTGAGTTGTTGTCAATTATAGTTTGGAGATGAAGACTCATTCGCTCAGTACTTTACACAAGCTCATTTAGCATATCTTTCATCCCTTGAAACTCTTTTTGGCGTTGTGCTTCTTGCATTCTTTGGACTACTGAATTTGTTCTATGTTGCATCTGCAACACTTCTTCGCTTATCATTTCCATCTCGATTCTGTGTTGCATCTCGTTGTCCTCATAGCAAGAATACATTGGTGGATTAAAGTAGTTGCAATCATGTTTCACGAGTCATAAATTAACCCTAGGCCTATTGGGCCTAGGATTAGGTTATTTGGAGATTAAGTCACCACCTAAACCTAATACGACTAGGTTTCAGGAAACAGGTAACACCATCTCTATATAAAGAGGTAGTGCCTCTCCCATAATACATATCTTCTACCTATCTTCTACACCTTCTGCACACGATACGCATCCCTCTCTCCCTATTATCTCTATTCCCTTATTGGCTTAAGCATCAGAGAGTCAACCTTCAGGAGACACCCGGTGCTCTATCTTGCAGGTTTTAGGCCGTTCGCCGCCGCCTAGGTCATCATCGCCGCCCGTCCTAAGCACCGTATAAATCCAAGCTTCGTCAAGTGGCGCGCCCGGTGGGACCGATTTGTTTTGTCTTCACAACTAAATAAATTTCTTGGAAAGAAACCGAAATTTGTTGGTTCTTCATGGTGTCTCAGTTCGGACCTGAAAGAAAACATCAAGAATTAGGAAATTTTTGTAAAGCTGCCAGCCATCGACTTCTTCGTCAACCTCCTCCAATCAACGATCAGGTCGACGATAGTTCTGTCGACTTCCATGTCAACGCCTTCCTGCCGACGACGAGGTCGACAAAGATGCTGTCGACTTCCATGCCGACCTAAACAACCCGACGAATAAGCCGACAAGGGGCAATTTTCATCTTATGGTTGGTTAACCCTAATAATTTTCTAATTTTATAGATAAGCTCTCAAGTCCTTTGAAGAAAGGCGCAATTTCGAGGATTGAAGTTTCGAGATATACATCTCCTCGAAGGGGCAAGCAACTTCGAGCGATACATTACTACTCGAAGTGTTCAAGAAAACGTATCTTGACTCTACTACTAGAAATGTTCGAGAAGACGTATCTTGGCTTTCATAATACCTTTTCGGAATCGAGGTAACACCTTCTCGAGTAATCAATTTATCTCGATACAGAGGTACTTCTCAAATCTTTTTTAATATATTTCTCGAATCAAAATCAATCTACTGCTGACATCATTATCATATTACTACCATATCACGATATTTTTTTGAACATGATTAAAGGAGTTCTTCAAATTACCAACCCTCTCGTGGTCCACCACGCGAACAAGGATACTCGCGGTCCACCGCGCAAACAAGGAACTCTCAACAATGAAGATCTCATCGAGGCATCCTACTCTCTTTATCTTATATAGGTGACACCCGAGAACAAAAGATTTCAAAAACTTTGATGTTGCCTATTCCTCAAATAATAGTAAAATTTGGGTTTTTCGGAAAAAGAGAGCTCGCTATGGATTTGTTGGAGGAGAGTGCTGGTCCTTGCCGAGTTCACCAAAAAAAAGATAAATATTACTAGCTTGGATTATGAGTTTTGTAGATAATGGAAGCTAGGTCGATCCCACGAGGACAGCTAATTACCAAATTTGTTGTAAAGAAAAACTGTCAGTCAACAAGGTGTCACTCAGGAGAATGGAAACAGTCACTCAGGGGAATGGGGGCCAGAGGTGTTCTTCTCCTCTTCCTGCTGTTGTAGTTGTTTTATTAGCACAATAATTGTTGAGTTCTTGTTCATTCAGCTCACTTATAACTCTAAGTCAGTTCCCATTTTTCCTAGAGTCATCTTTGCAACCTTAACAACCTATTTTCCAATGGTTGATTCCAGCTACAAAGTCATTAAATTCCTAGGCCTTCAAGAATGCTTATGTTAACTAAGTATATTCCTATCTTAGTTAAAACCATAGACTGTTACCTCTATGTCATAAGTTAAAGTTGAAACAATCCAAACTAAGTTTATCCTTCCAGATCTCCCTTAGTTCTAGCATGCATTCAATTTAGTGATCAAGTAAATGAATGTAGAAAAACTTTCAACCATAAAACAATGAACAAAACCAGTGCTTTGACAACTACAACATCAGTTGAGGAGAATAACCCATGGAAACTGTTTAGCTACTCATACGAATAAATGCTACATCTACTACATCAATGGACATCATAGAAGTATGCATAATAAATAAAGTTCAAGCTAACAGTCAAGAGATGAGAAGGATGCTTGTGCAGTTTCTGAGTCACTACTGGGAGTGAAAGGGTTCACTCGTGGAACTGAAGAAGAAACTGGGTTGCTATTCTTCAACTTAGCTTCCTCACTGAGTTGTTGCTGCTTCTTCTTCTTTCTTGTCTTCTACTTGGAGTTTTTCTGAGTGTTTTTGCAACTAAGAAGCTAACCAGAGACTGATGGATTCCTCCCTGTGAGAGTGCAGCTCCTTTCTTTATAGTGCCTTGCAACCGGTGTCTTCATCATGAGAACCTCCCCATGCTTGGAGTTGTTTAATTCTTCCAATGTCTTGAGCCTGCAATCCACTTGGCCGTTCCTTTTCTCTCTTCCAGCAGTAGCCGCTTTGCTCTCATTGATCAGCAGTGGTGGCTGGGATTGCGGCTGGGGGACAGCATGCTCTAGGAGGAAACAAGGCATTTAATGACAAGATGCTTCCTGTCTAAGACCCTCCTTCTTCGTCCAGCTCAGCACCCTTGCCTCAGCAGTCCATAATTTGCTCCTTTGGCTTCCAATTTTCAGCAATTATTCAGTCCGGTCCTTTCCTAACAATAATGTAAAAATGAGCTAAGTAATTTGCATCAATGTTAGGAAATACCCCCAATTGTTCATCAAATATAAAGTTAAGTGTGATGCTTTTATGTAACAATTTAACCGTTATCAACTCCCCCAAACTGGAAGAATTGCTTGTCCTCAAGCAAAACACTAAACTCTTGTTGATACTTTCAGAATTGCACATAACAAATAGGGGAGACAAAATAACTGACGATTGACTTACTCCCCTGAGTAAGGATTCCCACTCAGGTAAGTGACACTAGACAAGCAACAACCTTAAACACAACTAGATAGGTACTGTCAACTTTCCCATCTCAGATTCAAGTTAAGAAAACATACGTTGAGGATACCAAATCTTTTTGCAATCCAGAGTCAAACAACCAACCTTCAAAGGGAATTAGAATGCATATGCCACAAGTGCTTGTTCATGCCAAACCTACCAATCCATTCTAAGTTAACCGGTTAAACTTTTGGTGGTCATTCTTGTGATCTGGTCTTGCCTGAGTTACTTGACTCGATTTACCTACTGAGACTTCAATCCTGGAGTTCCTGCACAGCCTTTATGCTTCATTTATTTAGGAAATCTCTTTCTTTTTTTTTTTTCTTTTAAAGGGGATGTAAATGGACCAACCTACAGGGGTGTTATTCAACCTTATCTCTCCACTGCCTTATACCTCAATCCTTATTACTCCAACAGTTTGGAACTTTTTGTGGTGGTTCCTTGCTGTTACCCCTAAGGTTTCGGTTGATCCATTCCCTAAGTTTTTTTTTTTTTTTTTTTTGAAACAAGCAAGCAGGCTGTGAATGGGTCTCAGATTTACGGCATTTCTCATCTAATTGTAGCTCAGGACTAGACACAGCTCACAACAGTGGATTAGTCATGCCAAATTTTAAGATTTATGTTCTAGGCATTCACTTCCACGAGTGGCATTATTCATGTGTGTGAGTGAGTGTCAGCCATTTTTTCTTTCATGCATCAGACTTGGTATCAAAAAGTGATCAAAAAGTGGTTTCAAAAAGTGGTTTAGCAAAATTGTTTTTCAAAACTATTATCATCCTAGACTGTTGACAGCTCCTTAAAAGATTTTTCATTTTGTTTTGACAGATATTTTACAGAGTCAATCTAGACATGAACCTAATGGACCTAAATGGCATTGTCCTGACATTGACCGACCTAACCGAAAACTAAGTACAACTAACTACTACTGCTGCATTACTCCCCCCCAAACTTATCCTAAGCATTGCCCCCAATGCTTAACAACACCAACCCAGTAACAACAATAATAAAAAAAAAAACAGAAAACAACACATGAAACATAAAACAGGCAACAAATAAATTGCTGATTAAGGGAAGCAGAACAGCACTTCCCTGAGTGGTTATTGAGGCATTCCGTGAAAAGGGTGGACTGGCGGGTCATGCGGCATTGGGCAGTTTTCAGGGCATCCAATGCACTTGTGCATTTCCTGCAGGAATTTCTCCGTCCTCATCTGGCACTGGTGGACGTAATTCAGGATGAACCTAGTCTGCTTGTTGAAATCCCTCTGCTTCAATTGTCCAGTTGGAGTGGGAGTGGATGTTGTTTGTCCCGTCCATGCGGCACCTGGGGGTTTCTGGTCCAGCTTATGCATCCGCAATGGTTGCTGCAAGTTGCTCTCTGCATCTGTGTGCAGGAAGGTCACCCGTGCCCTTTTGCATAGCATGGTGACTATAACTGGGAAATACCAGCTCTTCACCTTTGGATCAGTGATGCATCGGGTGAGTTGCTCCCGGATGACTGAGGCTGCATCAAATGGTGTGTCTGTGGCAATAGCATACAGCAGCAGAGCCATCTCGTAGGTGACCTTAGCAGTGTAGGATGTTGGCATCAGATTGCAGCAGATGAAATGGTGCCAGAGATTCAAGTCAGGCGTTTGCAAAGCGTTTGCAGGAAATCCCAAAGGGTTTTCTTGGTCGTCCATTTCCCAGCTTGTGCCCTCTTTTGCCAATCTGGACAGAATGGCCTGTTCCAGCGGTTGATTTGGATACAGGGCAGCCAGGGTTTCTCTGTAATCAGTGTTTATTCTTGGTAATTTCCAGATGGCCCTTATGGCCTCTGTGCTGCAATTGACGCTGATGCCTCTGACGAACACTCCATCTCTGGGAGCAGTGTGGAAGTTGCCGTAAAATTCTTGCACAATCTGGATCCGTG